GTCTTTATTTTACAGTTAAAATAAATGTTTATCAAATAAAGTCTAATGTTACGACTAATCATGGATCCCTTTAAGAATAAATGTTCAAGTTGGAAGAATGAGATCCATCCATCACCAAGGCTTCAAAAAGACTGCAATTTTTTTACATTAAATATTACATCAAAATAACCATTGTACATCAAATATCAGTAGATGAAAATTTAGATTTTTTTTTTTCATTTGCATTCTCTTTCTTCCATAGTGACAGTAAAATGTATTCCATATGTTAACATACAATGACCCCTACACTGGAGAAAAAAAAGTATCAACATGAGCTTTATCACCCAGGTCAAACCCCACATATAAGGAGTTCAGGGCTCTTTCACAGCCACGGAATTAGCCTGTTTTGATGCACAAAGACGCAAAGACCGTGAATTCGTCCAAGAAAAAAGAAATGCATAAATGAATGGGAAGCAAAAATTCAAGTGTAGGATAAAAATGATTGCATGCTATTCCTGTGTCTGAGGTCAAGAATCTACAAACATTCCCCTCCCAAGAGCGATGGGGAATAATGCAGAGTTCAAAGCTCCGTAGCTGCTCCTTGTGTAAATCCTTGTCTCCTTGATGTTGTTTTTATTTGAGAGCTGATTACCCTCTGACTGACTAGAATCTCTGTGGAAGGGCACAAGGTCTGCTGGTTTTGATGGTCAGCCAAAGTATTTGTTTACAGACATGGTGTTTCTTTTTAGGGGTTGGCTGCATGCAACCCGTGTGTGGCAAAAACAAAAATAACACTTTGCTTATGTGCACTCATCTGGAGGTAGGAATCAATACGCCTTCTGCTCTGCAGAACCACTTTCTTGTGACTCAAACCGAGCTCTCCAGACAGATGCGTGTTCGTTGCATCTTCGCTCTTTAAAGCTCGGCATTAACACCGAAGAACATCCCAGGATCTGACGCCCACGCACGAGCAGATGGAAAACCGCGCAGACACCCAGCCAAACACGGACACCGCTACAGCCAGCCCGTGTTAACAAAAGTCCCTCCCACTCATAGGCCAATTTGTTTGATTCCGTTTGCTATTGCATTTGATGTATTAGACTTTAAAGAGCATCACCCAGCAAATATGCGAGGCTCAATCGATAAAGGTTTGTGTTTTCCAGCAGGGACCCAGTCAGTCAGTCTGCTTTGCAAAGGGAGAGCTGCAGAAATACACTGTATGTACATCTATTATTTTTGACTCAAGGACTCCTTTAAGACTGGCTGTCACTCTTAAAGCATGCGACCCCTGAAAGCTACAATCAATATTTTGGTATGACTTTACTAATACTTCCTTTTTTTGTATCTGTACACAAACCTTCCAGATTCCACAATGATGGTCGCATGCTGGACATCTTTCAGCGACTCACAGCCACGGAAGGCGTGTACTTCCTGCCTCAAGACCTGGAACTGTCCAATCAGGAACTAAGCTACATCGTCAAGAAAGCAGAGCAGTGGAGAGGCTTCAATGGGGAGAGGCGAAAGGTAGAATTGTCACATTAGAAACTCTGATTTGCTCTTCTACTGCAACCCATGGGATGACTGTTGTTTTCTTACAGACAGAATGATCTGTAAGGTCATTATTATTAGTCTGATTAGTTTAAGGATAATGAGTTGTTGGTCACTGGAGATAACAGGGCTTTTGTGCAGAGCTGCTAAAAGATGAGGGGCTGTAAACTGACAATAAAATAAAACATACTGGTTACTTTACATTCAGTGCAGGTGGATGTATACCATGGGTTCATTTTGTATCATTCTGTTTTCTTTAGTTACATCTGAGAAAGCTGAGAATTCATCTCAGAGGTCTTTAGCTTTGTTCTAATTAGTACAAGATAATTACCAAAAACAGGGAGCAGGCTAACAGGCTGCCTGATTAGTCTGTGAAAACTGATTTCTGAAGATATTTCATTAAAGAGAGACTTCTCAATCAACACATAAAGAGAAACTGTTTCATCTGACATTCTCTTCCTTTGGATATTATATCAGAAAAAGGTTGTCTTGTGTTCATCAGTCCGGCAGAGGTCAATGGTGATGTCACAGAAAAGGGCAGTCTGCGATCAAATGTGCTTCTTCTGTTTATTTTCTTCATTCATCTGGAACAGATTCCTGTTTTCAAAGTACAAAACTAGAAGCTTTATGGCACCATTTGTCAGAACAAAAAAAAAAAAAAAATTCCTAGAAATGCACATCGCCCACAACTTTTAATGCTCATCAAATTAAGATTATCTTATGATAAGAAATGACAGAATTATAGGCATTTTGGTCAAACTTCAAAATTTCATTCAAGATCTCTGATGCACTGAGGATGACTCTGTTACCACCAACAAGTTTTACCAAGATATCCATAAATTAACTAAATTCTATCCACTTTTGTGTGGGCTAATGTCAACTAGTTATCGCAACCAACTGGAATTGGACTGACTCCAAACCTGTCCAGTGGCTTGTGAAACATTCTGCAAACACAAAGACATAAATATTTTGCAGACATCTTATGCGTATGTGTTGGGGAAGACGCTCAGCTACCACCACAATAAGTTGTAGCTTAATGAAAGAGAATGAATTAAAGCAATTTTTATGTTTTGTAAAATGTGTTGTATTGACCATCTTAAATTTATTAAAAAGTAACGAATTGTAGAGGTACATGCAATGATTATTTCCATTATAACCTTTCCAGTGGTTTATAAGATATTTTGGTAAAGACATGCATACACAAGGACAAAACAAATCAACTTTTACCCTTTTATTAAGCTTAATATTCCTTGACAGATTTGTTCCTCCAAAATGCTTAGCATATTGTTGTATAGCTTAGTCCATCTTATAAATAGGGGGTATTGTGTATTTTCCAGGCACATAGTTCAATCCTAAACCACAATTAAGTAACTGTGTGTAGCTGTTTATATCAAAAATAAATTTGACTTTGCATCATTGCCTGTCTAAAAGCCTTGAAATTTGCCTCTCTTTCAGAACCTCCTACCGTTTCAGACACTCCTACTTCAGCACGTTTTCACATCAATGCTTTGGAGCAGGTGTGCTCTGTGGGGCGGGGCTGAGCTCCAGGGAGGAGCTATTTACAAATAAGTGGGGCTTTGCATAACACCCCCCCCCCCCAGACCATGGACTGACGGAGCCCCGAAGGCCACCAGAAACCGGGACCAACCCCCCCCCCCCCCCGCCTCCCTTTAAAACTGAACATTTTCTCAAATCAAGTTGAATCCTCTGCTTTACTTCACTGAAATAAATAAGCATAAACAGAATAAATCTGTGACTAATGAAATGCCCCATCAAGCAGCTGAAGGCCTCTTGCTGCGGTTCACTTCCATCATCCTCACACTGCAGCAGATCACCCTCCAAAGCAACAATTACAGCATTCTTCCTTCTTATTGGACCTAATTTGGTGTTATTAAATGCTAACACATTCCTTGGCATGATGAAAATTTAGGGTTATTGCATTTTAACATTTTTACATTATTCAGTGAGACAATTTTTCATCAAAATAAGATAGGCGTTGCCATTATTTTATAATTATTGTAACAGTTTCTTCTACAAAAAAGGGTCACTTTCCTAACTCTGCAAAGACATATCCCTATTAGACTAATTTGCCTACATGCAAATTTTTGTCATTTTTCCCTCATTAACTATTTATCATAGACAGGGGAGGAAAAAAATATTCATGAAGGCGAGCAAAGGAGCAGCCCGACAGAGCTGAAACTAATATTTTGCAACTCTAATGATTTTTTGCATCCTTAATTAGATAGAATAAGGTTGATATGATTAGGTCAGGATGTAGTGTTTTTCATTAAAAATACATTTCAGAAACTGTATTCCAAATGTGCCCTTGCAATTAAATAATGAATCCGATGCATTTCTTATTATGGAGCCAATTAATATCAGAGGCAAGTGCGTAATTTTAATAACAGTGGGCTACCAGGCTTTCATTAGCTGACTGAGAGAAAGGAGGGATGAGGAGAAAGTATTCACAGGAACAGCTGCAGATTTTGTTAAACAAGCTATTGAACCATACATGGAGAGCATGCATTGTCAACAAAGTAAAAACAAAACAGTGGTGTTTGTTTGTCATCTGGAGATTGAAATTAATATTTTCTGGAAGTTTTAGGTTTAATTCTTTAAAGTTTAAATATTCCTCCACACTGCCCTACAGAGGTAATAAAGCTGCATTGATCATTAGGTAACAATTTGTTGCTTCATCTGTCAGAAAATCTTCATTAGGAGTAAATTACAAATCCATCTGCCTGATTGTTTTGTGCTTTAACAAGTTTTCAGCCAGAGCACAGTCCTCGGGTCACTTTTTAAAATCCCCTTTTTATTTTAATCACTTCTGCAGCAGGTGATAAACAGAAACACAGCACATTTATTGAGCAACCTGTTGGGACATTTTCTGTTTTTTCTTTTTTTTTCTTTTTTTTAACCCAAGATAAGTAAAGACATTGTCACTCAGCATAAATAGTTCTGGGGGAAAGTTCAAGCATTAACATCTCTAAACGTTCAGTATACTGCAGTAAAAGTCATGCTGAAGTGGCTTCAGCCACATGAACAAGTATCCATGCAGCACAGAATGGCCCTCAGAGAGCTGAGAACACCCCGGTGCAAAAACATTTATAATAAAGAATATCTAAAAAAAAATCTTTCCATTGTGTTTGTCGACCTGTTGTGTATACATGTTACTTCAAAAAACTGCAATAAATGCACCAACAATAACACAGTAAATTGTATGAACCATATGACTTTCTACTAACACTGGCTCTGTCTCAATTCATGGGTTGTAACCGACGTTGTCCACAGTAAGGCCGTGGGGCGTAGGCTGCTCATGTCTGCTGCGTAAATGGCTGTGAAGACATATGTTTGTGTAACCACGCGCTGCCTCATAATAAGTTTTATGTCACATCACTTCAGTTGGTTTGTCAAGGTATAACTTCACAAATTTTAGTTTTAATAGAACAAATGCTACAAGTAAATAAATAAAATACATTAATAATTTGAGTTAAGCTCCGGTATCAGTACTTGTAACTGCATTTTATTTAACATCTCATTGCAACAAAACTTTCTTCAGCTAAGTTGCTAAACTTACATTTTTCTGTCTGCGATAAACTTCCAAACTCTGTTGTAAAAAAATCTGCTGTTTTTCAATTTAATTTGCTGTTAGCGCAATTAATTCTGGGTTACCGTTAGGATACTCAGATGCAGCCTATATTTTCAGGGTTTTGACGCTGCATGAGTAGGCGCCTATGAAYTGGGACAGCCTACAGCGCGGGGCAGTGACATGAGCAGCTGTGAATTGAAACACTGCCATCGTTCACAGCCTCACATGTTTATCAAATAACATTTAAATCACATTCACATCTTTACAACTAATAATTATGGATAATTACTCCAAATAAAACAACCTGAGTGCTGATTGGAATCAGATTAAAACTAGTTTCCTGCTTTTTAAATAGGAACTCAGCGAAACCCCCTTGATGCTGTTAACTCTCCCAAGCTCTGAAACAATAAAAAGACAAGAATCCACATTCAGTAATCAAACAACAAATGAGCAGTTATTATAAAACTTGTAATTTTTATAGGCGGTCATAAAACATAATCTAATTTTTACTTTCTTACCAATTAACTTTATGTCAGAGATTTCTTTCTCCGCACCGTCCGATCCTCAGACAGGGTTAGATGTCGGCACGCTGACTGAGCAAACAGGATGAATAAATGAAGGACTTATTTACTTTTAAACTTTCGAGTGGGTTTTTCAAATTATATATATATA